CTCTTCAGAACCGAATCGAACCGAAACGACCCACGGACAACCCTAGTTTTAGTATATAATTTGTTAAATTCAAGATGTTGACGTTTGGATACATATATAAGTACCAAATGCCAAGTACAGATATGTTATAAATTGCTTTAGAAAATTATTTTTGATGAATTTTTGCCTAATTATTTAAGTGGAAATCGTTAGTTGGTAATTAAAATTTGAAGACCGAACATGTTCTACTTTTTGAGCAGATTATTGTATTTAATTTAGTTACTCGAAATCAATTTCGGATGAATGAGATGCTTAATTGATTACAACACAAAATTCATAGAAAAATTAATAAGACTCCTTATCAAAATCATAATTAAAACATTATTAATAACATGTTTAAACTGTGTACTTGATTATTGAGTACCCATCAAAATTTTACATATTCTATTTTTCAGCACATATATGAAATAAGATCGAACCTTGAGATTGCACACATTAATGTTAATAAACAATGTTCAACCATGGCTTTTTTGAGACATAAAAAACGACCCTTGTCTGCTGCAGGGACAGACTGGCATCTACCACTTGTATTACAGTGCCCATGGTTTGGCTTAATGGTGGTACGGGCAAAGCCTATACCCATTGTTGAGGAGCAAGTTTGAATTGGACATTGCGAGTTGTGAATTTCCACAACAAATTTGGTGGTGTGGTGTGTTGACCTTTGTAAAATTAAAAATTTATTAAAAGTACTAAAACCAGATTATATCCTAAATCGCATCTCTTAAGTTCAGTATGAATTCCAAGCTAGCTTGTCACTCTTGGACGGAGCATCCAGCTCAGCTCGCGCACCATTTGAGAACAGAATCTACTGTCATCATATAGGAAATATCATCATTATTCTCTGAGTTCACTTACTTCAAGATTGACTCCACCATCCTCCTCCTAGCCAATGCTTTCAAGACAAATGTCGATCATGATTATGCACCAAAATTGAGGCCAATCATAAACATGTAATGATGACTTCCCACTTCAATCTCATTATGGCATATGAAGTCCGACCTCAATATCCAATCAGACCAGGTCGACGACACACACATTAAGATCGACACTTAACTGATTTGATGTAAAGCAAGACAACTTGCCCATTTTTGTCTATAAAAGGAATTGTAATGATCCCCCTCTAGAATCGAACCCAACTTATGTGTGGTATACATTTCTCGTTCTCTCTACTTAATGCAAATATCCTATTTTTTACTATTTCAGCACAATTTACCTATTTCAATATAATGTACCTTTTACAAATTATCACTTGAGTTGATCAAATCAACCTAGTCGTTTTTTAACGTGGACATGGTGTATTATGCCGCCCCTGACAGGGAGTGCAAGTGGGTTCAATTGTCAAGGAAGACATGGATAGTGTCAGTTGGCAGTAAACGTTAGTTTCCATGAAGGGGCATAAATTATTTTCAAGGATTGTTTGTACAATGCAATAAAGAAAATAATATTGAGCCTCTGTTTGATAGTCAATATTTTGAGGAAATAAAATTTGAATATTGACTTTTTAGAGAATGTGTAATTAAAAAGTAAAGAAAATTTTTAAATTTACGTGCGAAATATTTTATTGTGTAAAAATTTGGTAAAAAATTAGTATTAAGTTTAAATTTTTTTTTTTTTTTTTTGAAATAATGATTATCAAACATGGGGTGAATTATTATTGTATTGGCATGCAAAGTGAATATCCGTTGAACTTATTATTATTATTTTATTTTTTTTGGTGACTTAGGTGTCTGAGTTTTGCTCGACTAATCCTGAGGAATGACAGCATTCCCCATGATTCGCCTGGTAAATTCGGATGCACTTACAATTTATACACACTTCGACCGAACATTCGGGATCCAGTTCTCCTTCCTATGGACCTCGCCTTAAGACGTGCAGATAGAACCCTTGAAGGGACAACAAAGCACACCATAAATTTGCCTCCACGGGATATCTGTCTTCCAACATAGATGTTAACTTTCAATTGTCGCGAGGATTTGAACATCTGATACTTCGTATTAAACTAATATTGGCATGCACGACTATTGGTTCTTGTTTTGAACATTGTTCAGTGCTTGAAATAGTCTACCGAACACGTAATCGAGTCTCTCCACCGAGGGAAAGAATGCCTACT